CTTCGTGAATACAGAGATATTACATCCAACATGGGCTTGCCAACGGGTTCAGTATATCCAACACGGGTAGCCACCACAGTTTTATCTATTCTTTCCCCTTTCCCCTGTTCACATCCTTTTGTGATTTTTGACAAAAGGAAACTCCTTAACGAAAATTAATATTTTCAGGATGAGAATGGCAACTTGTTAGTGACTGAATATGGGCTATGCACTTATAAGGACCACCAGACATTATCAATGCAAGAAGTGCCAGAAAATGCTGCTCCTGGTCAACTTCCAAGAACAGTGGATGTCATTGTAGAAGACGACCTGGTGGATTCATGCAAGCCTGGGGACCGTGTGGCAATTGTTGGGATATACAAAGCCCTTCCTGGAAAAAGCAAGGGCAGTGTGAATGGAGTATTCAGGTTGCTATGTGTATGCCTAATAGTCTGCTCATTTATTTCACCTTCGTTCTATCAAATATTCTTTAAATCTTGTTTACCAATTTTGTAGGACTGTCCTCATAGCCAACAATGTCTCTCTTCTCAACAAAATGGCACACAATCTACAGTATTCAAGTGAAGACATGAAAAACATCAGAAAGATATCTGAAAGAGATGACGCATTTGATTTGCTTGCTAATTCTCTTGCACCTTCTATTTATGGACATCTATGGATTAAGAAAGCAGTGATTCTATTGATGCTTGGAGGAACAGAAAAGAACCTGAAAAATGGAACTCACTTGCGAGGGTAATACTATTTTTCTCAATTGACTTGAACAAGCTCTATATAGTGGTATGCAATTTTTTTGTGCATGGATGTGTGGATTCCTTCACCTGCTTTATTTATTCTCATGTTTCTTCATTGTAGACATATTGCATAAACCTCATATAGCATGTTTTGTCAAGTCCTCACAATACAATTTTGCCGATTATAGTGACATAAACATGATGATGGTCGGTGACCCCTCTGTTGCCAAATCTCAGTTGCTAAGAGCAATCATAAATATTGCTCCTCTAGCCATATCAACAACTGGTCGAGGTTCTTCTGGAGTTGGTTTAACAGCTGCAGTCACTTCTGACCAAGAAACAGGTAGGACATATTTGCAGACCAAGTGTAAGCTTTAATTGGTGATTACTCATGAGATTAGTATTCTTGAAAATAGGGGAAAGAAGACTAGAAGCTGGAGCCATGGTTCTTGCTGATCGAGGTGTTGTTTGTATTGATGAGTTTGACAAAATGAACGATCAAGATCGTGTTGCTATACATGAAGTGATGGAACAGCAGACTGTAACAATTGCCAAAGCTGGTATTCATGCATCCTTGAATGCTCGGTGCAGTGTAGTAGCAGCTGCAAATCCAATTTATGGGACTGTAAGTTGCTTAAAGAATATGGGGAAAACAGGAGTGTTGACTTGCATCTTCTATTACCGTTTGTTTAATTTTCTTCTTCTGCCTGTATACAGTATGACCGTTCATTAACTCCAACAAAGAACATTGGACTTCCAGACTCTTTGCTTTCACGTTTTGATTTATTATTCATTGTTTTGGATCAAATGGATCCTGGGATTGATCGTCAAATTTCTGAACATGTGTTGCGTATGCACCGATTTCGCTCAATGGTAGATGGAGGTATGCAGCTTTTGTTTGTGACTGAAATTTAGATGTCTTTCTAAATCATTTGACATTCCTTAAGCAAAGTGCTGATATTTTAGGCAGCTCAATGTTAGATGGTAATTCAAGATATGAACAAGAAAATGAAGCCGAGACAGGTTCAACCATTTTTGTCAAGTACAACCGAATGCTACATGGGAGGAAAACTGACAGAGGTCGTAAGCGTGATACTCTCACCATCAATTTTCTTAAGAAGTACATTCATTACGCCAAAAACAGGATTCAGCCTGAGCTTACTGATGAGGTAAGGCTTATTTAAATACTCATCAGCAAAATCCATAAATACTACATGAGAGTGCAGATTGTGAATCATTTTGATATGTCCTGTGAAATTTAAAATTTTTTAGAGCAAGGCATATGATGCCATATAGTTGCTGGAACTTTATTCATTCCTTGAGTTTCTCTCTCAAACACCTTGATATAGCTTCCCTCCTGATTTTATCCTTTACAAATCATCCTCTCCAGGCTTCAGAGCACATTGCAACTACATATGCAGAGCTAAGAAACGCAAGTTCAAATGCAAAGGTTGGTTTCTTTGGGTAATATTAGCTGATATCCATATTTGGTGTTTAAGCTGCTGCTATAATATGCTGATCTGAATCATTTATTAGACTGGAGGAGGAACACTGCCAATTACTGCCAGGACATTAGAAACTATTATACGTCTATCAACTGCCCATGCCAAGCTGAGGCTGAGGAGACAGGTAATGGTTATTTTTGGTTCATTATCCAATTGGAAGTAAAAAAAGTGGTGTGATGGGACTTAAAAGTTTATTATTAAATAATCAATTTGACTTATTAAACTTGTATCTAGTCATCGGATAATGAAAAAAACTGAAAAGAAGTATATCACCAGTTTATTGATAACTAGTAATATGCACCTCTCAGCCTGGTTATGATGTGCAAACCTTGTTTTATTATTGAAGAATAATGTTTCATGACCTGACTTGGGCAGGTTTTGAAGTCTGATGTCGAATCTGCTCTTCAAGTTCTAAACTTCGCTATATATCATCAAGAGCTAAATGAAATGGAGGAGCGAGAGCAAGAAAGGCAGAAGGAAATGGAGGGAGAACGTGGAGCTGACCATGACACCACTGACAAAACAGGGCGCAGTGGCGGTAGAAATGGACCTGCCAATGGAGGTTCTACTACTGCTAGAGGGTAAGTGAATTTATCGTTCTTCTAGCTACTGTATAATGTGGGAAATTTTTAGCAATATCTAGTATGATTACTGGAAGTTACGATGGTCATCTAGTACTATCTGAAAGCAGAACACTTTTTTTCTTTGCATGAAAGAGTGATTCATCAAACTTCTTGCATATTATCAAGCTGAAAACAAATATCATCTGTTCATATTTTATTCTATGCTTCATTCTCCTTAATAACCTTTTTAGTACCTATCAATGAAGATAGGAATTTATATTCGAGGAGGCTGTGTTTGAGAATGTTGGTAGCCACTATTATTGTTATGCATTAGGCTCTTTGCTTGGTTTCTTGATTATGTTGACATTTCTTCTTTTAAATACTTTGGCAAGTGAAACGGAAGCCATGGATGTGGATGCACCCCCTGCAAGCGAAGTTAACATATCCCCAGAGAGGTTTATTGCTCATACACTACAAGGATCTTGACAACTTTTTATCTTCAAATATTGCTAATACAATGTTACTCTTGCTGCCAAGTTGGGGGCTAATGTTTTATGTTGTTGGTTTAATGCCTTCCTTTGCTTGTAGATTGGAAGCATTTAGTGCTGCATTGGGGAGGTATAGGCATGCACAACATATAGAACAAATGTCAATTGCAGATATTGAGGGGGTTGTTAACCGTGGGGAACCTGTGCCTTACTCAACAACAGAGATTATGTCCCTTCTAGAGGTAATGTTGACATTTTTTATGAAGTATTGAAGTTTTGGTTTAAGAGGCTTCCCTTTGGGAGGTCAAGGTTAAAGAGTCGTGTGGCTTTGGCGACAACTAGTAGCAGAATAAAATTTCCATCTCTCCGCAGATAATGCACGAGAAAGGCAGCTTGATGCTAGTCAGAGACACGAATGCAGTGTACTTTATGTGAAGCAGGCAATTGAAGCTTTCCTGTTATGTGATGGTATGCCATTATTTAATTATGCAGCCTAATCTTCTGCAATGAAATTTGCAGGTGATGTGCAAATTTTTAACAGATATCTCCGTTGCATTTAAATACTCTTATTATTTCCGGCCTCGTTTTGAGGACTTTTCTGTATCAGTACAAGCTTATTCATTTAATAGATTATTGAGCATAACCAAGCCTTTTAACCTAGTAAAACCATATTCATGAGTCTACATTTACTTCCATTCCTAATTTCATATACATGAATAAAAAAAAGCTTATAATACAAAATATTTAGTTGTCGATTTTGAATATTTTAGTAGTTGAATAACTTTGTTCGTCAATTATCAGGGAGTTTTGTCTAGTTAAAGTGACAGGAGACAGCTTGAAGGTCTTTATTTGCCAGAGAACTCCCAAGCTATGGAAATGAAACTGGATTTAATTACACGTGGAATTGCACGTCATGGGTCTGAGAAGCATGTCTCGATGTAGTAAATCTTTATTGCTAACTTGTGTTTAAATAGCATATTTTTATTCCTCGTGCCTTAGAAATTTTCATCTTATGCTCATCAAAAGAAGGAATGGGGTTTTTGATGTTGTATGCACCAGTGGTTTCAGCATTACTTGCAATTTCTTGTACAAAAATGAAGCAATCAATAACTATATCATTTAGAATTATGCTGCTATATGTTTAGAGTTTGACCAGGTTTAAACTGATACATGCTTAATTTTTCAGAGAAAATGAGACGTTTCTTTAACTTCTTTCAAAAATAAACTATTTTTAGTAAGAAAAAACCGGACAATTTGAGAATTTGTAAGAAATTTTAGTTTCTTACAGAAAAGTCATTTTTTCAAAATATATCACGATATAAATTTTATCAAGTGATATATATTGTTTTAAAATAACGCAGCACAATTTATGTATGAAATCTTCTCCACTAAGGGTTGACATACACGTGCACCATTACCAAAATAATATGGCGTATTCTCTCCATGATTCCTTAATAGGTTGTGATGGATATTACTTGTAAATCAACGAGCATCTCTCTCCATAAAAAATATAGATACACAAGCAAAAATCAGTGTAGACTCAAAACCAGAGATAAAACAAATAACTCTTCGGTATGATCCTAGACTCTCTCAAAACCAATCATCAAACACAAATGAATAGTCAATAATTATATAGAACTTAAGGTACTTATAATTAAGCAACAAAATTTTCAGAAACTAGGAAGTTCCAAGTTCTAAAATTGACCAAACAAGTTACATAAACAAGTTGGGTCTAGATGCCTTGTATGTCGTCTTGAGCTTCCTAGTAGGTGGCCTCACCTTCCTGAACACCATAGGGAACTTGATCTTAGAGTTATGGAACTGTTTGGTAATTTCCCTCTTGCAAAGTTTAGCTGGGATAGTGGCCGTCTTGATAATTTGGATGCAATGATGGCGAACCCTGTGACGAGAAGCCATTTCGGTGTACATCTGCTGTACAGCACCATTCAAAGTGGTATCTCGGTACTCTTTGTACATGTTATGATAACCAGTCCTACTTTGGTAACGCAACCAGATACCATAGTTCTTGATTGTGGTTGGATTCTTCTCAAAGATCTACTCACAAAATCATAGAAAGGATTGTTAGAAATAAAAGATCAATCTATAAAGTATTATAGAAGGAACGAAAAATGTGCCATTGGAGGTGGAAGAAACAGATGATTTTTTGGAACTACGGATTAGGAGCTCAAATGAAAGAAGCAGAATAGACTTTTGTAGGGAAGAAATAGATCTTTGGCATATAAACATAATAAAAAATAGATATCCGTCCACAAGTATTTATCTTTTCAGGGCCGTCAATTGATACATCAAAAGAACAAACATTACATGAGAACAAACTAAAAGAACAGTATCCAAATCTTTCTCATATCGCCAAGATTCTACACCATTCTTTATGTAAGAATTAAATGATGGCTTACACATCACAACTAAACAAACAATAACAGTTGTTTTGAATGCAGAAACTACAATTATTAAACTTAATCATTGTATCTGTAAATTCTACTATCAAATGAGTCATCTGCTCTAGTTTTCTGACATAGTATATACTTTCTAAATTTTCTCTTCCCATTATTTCCTATAGAGTTTGGTGCTTTAAATTGTGTGATGTACACACCCAAATCAACTATAAAGAATTGACAGTGTAAAAGTGAAGAAAAGTTGGAAATTCATCAAGATATAACAATCCCTATCAGATTTATGTTCTACCAGTATAGCATTCCTCAAATCCAAAAACTGAACATTTTAATATTTAAAAATTCTAAGATGGGACCAAGCAGAAAAACTACAGATCAGGGGCAAATTTACCCAGTTTTAGGAATACTGAAACAGGCACTGTGAGCATTTTCTGCAACGCAAAATGATAGTACTACATCAAAATATACATTTAGATAACGTATAACCCAATTATTGAAATCAGTGCGCAATGTTTACACTTGAATAAATTAGAATTGAGGGCACACCTCATTAATAGCGAGGACTTGACCATTGCTCTTCTTCACCTTCTTAAGCTTCCTCAGGAAATACCTTTAAAATCACAATAACAATACGTCTCCCTATAATCATCAACAGAGCTCATTCTATGCAAAACACTTTACGTATATATTAATTGTAGCGGAGGTCGAACCAGAATTTGGACTTGGCGCGGACCTCATTGGTGGCCCAGAGCTTCATCCGATAGATCTTCGGGTGCTCATCTGTCTCCGTCGGTAGAGCTCTCCCAACCACTTGGTACTGATGAAACTGCACAAAGTACAAACACGCCCAAAAACCATATATCAAAACTATCCAAATTTGAAAACCTCTAATTTCATTAAACAGAACCACATATATATAGAGTGGAGTATTTACCTTGTAAGTCGACATTTCTGATGAGATTTTTCTTCTGGTGGGGCGAGTGTATGGGATGTTTGAGATGATGCAGAGGATTGTGTGACAGGAAGAAACCCTACTTGGTAATGTGCTTTATCGGGCTGTTGGGTTACTTGGGCTTTTGTGTGTTACTTACCAGTTTTGTGTTGTCCTTCATTAATTTTACTGAATAAAGAAAGGGCAAAAATGTAATCCATTTTAAATAAAGTTTAAAATTTCAAAAATTTGATATTATTAAATTTTATTTATGAAATAATTACTTAAAAATATTTTATTAATTAAATATATTATGGTCATAAATTTATACAATTTTGTCACAACTTATCAAATTAAATGGTTACAAATAAAAAATTCTATAGGTCATAAATTATTTATCGATTACAACTCAAAATTTTTATAGATCACAATTTATGCATCGATCATAAAATCAAAATTTTTATTGATCACAATCAATTAAATAATTAGTTACAAACACCCCCTATTCCATCCCATCTACCCATGACTACCGCACCACTGCCAAAATGACGACCACCACCATATCATCGCCTCACCAGACCTGCAAAACCACCACCACCACCACCACAATAACCACAACACCATGCCACACCATACTCCCGCATCATCATCGCTGCCAAATTGCAACATCAACAAACACCACACCACCGTTTACGAGTGCCTTGAACACCATATGTGACCACCACCAACACCTCTGTCACCACCACCCCCACCACCACAAACCACAAATCCATCACAAAAAGAAATAGTAGTGAGAGGATGGAAAGAGGGAGAAGAAAGAAGAAAGAAGAAAGTAGAATATGAAATGGGTTTGAAATTTAATTTTATAACATTATTATTAATATTGAATTATTTGAATTTTGTATAAACAAACTTTAAATTTGATTTTTGAAACGATAATTTCACAATTTTGGTTCCATGTATTTTCCCCCGAAAGAAAATTGGCATAAAACGTACCTTGTGTGCAAAGCGTCACTAACATTCAAACTGATCCGGTCAATGTGCAAATCATTTTTTACCGTCTATCTAGTTTTTCCGTTAATTATGAACATAAACGCCATGTGCTTTGAAGCAAAAATAAATGCAAGGACAAACACAATGTCTAAAAGCCTCGTATCGCATCATCCTTCTCAAAAAGGAATTTGCTTGTTAACCCTAATAATTCCAAATTCACATAGGTTTCAATCAAAATTAGATTGTTGAGGCAAAGTAGTACTTTCGCACTTTAGTTTTTACGACGAGACTGCACCCCATCATTTCTAGATGTTACATGCAATTAAATCAAATAGAACTTGTAGCACATAGTTGCGATGGGCTAAGGTGATATATAAATATTCAGATACGTATATGCCCCACTTTCATTATAAGTAAAATTTAATTCTTTATAAATAGCATGTTTGGCTGTCGAGTATATATATAAAGAAAAAAGAAGTTAATTTTAAGTAATTTAATATATTCAAATATGTTTTGAGAAACTGTTTTTTCTTGCTTATATGTAAAAAAGTTGTTTTTCTTATAATAGTTTTTTTGAGTCCCAATTCAGCCATCTTAAGTTCAAAATTGGCTAACATTTGGATAAATTACATGAACCTATGTTACAAAACTATTAACGAAAATAATTGTAGTAACGACGAGAAATTAAATAAGAAAAAAGGGATGCTCAAATGAAGAGAGACCTGAGTAAACCCAAGCTACATCAACTTCGGCGGTCATCTACAGCGCATCTGCAAGTTACGCTGAAATAAGACCCACATATGCCCCGCATAAGATCAAAACTCCAGTGACAATGTACGCAGCAGCAACTATTTTAGGTTCTTTAATTCCACATAATTCAAGGTGGTGATGAAAGGGTGCCATCCTGAAGAATCGAAAACCAGTTTTCCGAAAATATTTGGTTGTCCTGAAGATGCATACCTAAGACACAAGTGAACTTTGTTGTCAGATGCAGACAAGTTCGGACACAGTTATTTTGGAAGCAAATCAAACTTCAGTACATTTACAATGTGCCGAAAACGATATAATGTGATATGCTTGAAAGCAAATCAATGATTCATGCAGAAAAAGTAAAAGCTCAATGGCCATTAGATGTGTGATACTATCCAACAAATTATAGGGCACTCAAGTGGAATAAAAAAAAAAACCATATAAGTAGTCAAAATATCCAACAAATATTGCAAAAGCACTAAAAAAGAATCAAGTGTTTCGAAGTCTGAGAAGAATCACATATTTAGTGGATAAAATACCTGTATAATAACTGAAAGTGCTTCCATGACAAAAATTCCAGATGAAATAAACAGCGGAAAGAACATTCCCGTACAAGAAGCCATTGCAGCTAGAGCGGCCCCTAAAGCCAAGGCTCCTGTGTCACCCATAAATATAGATGCTTTGTACCGGTTGTGCAAAAGAAAACCAACACAGGCACCTGCCATTGATGCTCCAAATATAGCAATATCTGATTTTGGTTGCACAATTTAGTACCCGACAATGAATCTGAAGGCTAATGCTGGTAAACATCATTAATATCTTGAAAACGTCGACGTAGTATGCAGAGTATCAGCAAAAAAATCTGATTTTAAAGATGAAATGCTAAAACTTGGTCATTATAACTAGAAAGGTAAAGATTGGCATACTACCAGAACATATTGGAAGCACTGCAATCGACATTCCAATAAATGCCAATGCAGCAATCCCGCCAGCCAATCCATCAAGCCCATCAGTTAGGTTAATTCCATTTGCCATGGAAACAAAACAGAACGAAGTCAAAAGTGGATAAAATTTTCCCACACAAACAAGGCCTAGAGGCGCAGGTAAAGGAATCACCATTTTCCTGAATTGAGAAAAAAAAAAGGAACAAGTAATACACCGGTTAATATCTAGTTAACTGGAGATCATCCATGTAAAATTCTTCTAGTCTACAGCACAAGATGAACTAATGCATTGGCCTAGACGCACAAAAAACTTGTCACTAGTTTTCTGGTATTAGTGTTGTACACGCAAAAATGGAAAGCATCAATGCATCAAGTTAATTTTCAATTTTTTGACTAATGCTTAATAACCATTGAGAACCATGCATAACATTACTTGGTAAACTTAATCAGTAACACCTGACAAAAAGGTACAACAGGTTAGAAACAGTTCCTACACTTGAATGCTCAAACCTCGCCAATACAATGGACCCTGTGACTGCAGTGTCAGAATAATTTCCAAATAACTTTATCAGAGGTCTATTTACGGCTAATTACCTTGTATAGGCTAATCTCATGGCATAAAATCAGGGATTAATTCCCATTGTATAGTTTCCTTGTAGAGTTATGTAACATTTTATAAATTGAATACAATACACACGAGAAAAAGCATTCAGCCAAAATTATGTCAAACTTATCAGCTTTCCCATAAAAAAAAGTGGTTATGACTGCATCAGTAAATTTTATGGGAACGTCAAGTTCTTGTATCTAGAATTGTCACCAACAATAATAGAATAAGGTAAAATTTGTTACTTCTGGGGAAGGTATCAGCAAGTTCACATGATGATCAAGTTAAATGGTTCCAAACGTCCTCTTGAAACATGCCGTTATAGAAATGTGAGTTACCATTAGAAAAAGGTTGGTCAAATTAGTTACTAGAAGGTATACATGCTGTAAGGTGATGATACATTTGTGATGTACAACCAACAGGAGAACAATGACCCAACAGCTACCTGTGCAACACCAAAACATCACGTTAGTTCAATGTAAAAAACTGTTAGCTCTAGGATAAGTTGTAGAGAACACAGAAAGTCTTGGAAGGAAGTCATCAATGAAGTTTCACCTCCAACAAAATTCTCATCCAACCAGATAGACCACCGTTATTATTCTTGAGACTCAAGAAATCATCAACAAGGCCAATAACGGCAAATGCTAGAGTTGCTGCTGCCGCTCCAGAAATTTCTGCAGACGAAAAACCAACAATAACTTCAGCAACAAGTGCACCAATGGGTACAAAATACAATCCACCCATTGTAGGGGTTCCTTTCTTAGAGGAGTGTCGAATGGGCGCTTCATTCCTTCTTATTGATCGAAGCTTTAAAATACGAAATAATGGGACACAAATATAGCCTATACAAGACACTACAACTGCAGATATCATAAAAGGGCGCATCAAGTAAAATGGTGCCAAGGGCAATCTGACAATTCGCCATGCACACTGATCCACAAGGAAAAGAAGCAATGTCGAGAATGTGATTAGTCCAACATTGTTCAGAACCCCATATATAGTCCTGCAAGAAGAGCCAAGTTAGTTTAAAGAAAAGCTTTCACTAAGCTCAGTCATTGATGTCTTCAAAAGAAAAAAAATCCATTCTCCCCATATTCTCAACCAACATATGCTTTTTGATCAGAAAGTTCCAGACATACTATATAAGATATTTTATATCCTCAGAGCTACAGGGGAAAAAAAAGAGAGACAGAAATTCTTTCCCGAAGCATAAAGTGTGATAAGCATGCAATTCGATTAAGATTAGAATGATAAATTTGTTTTTAGTGAAAAATAAAATTGGACACCACTATTTCTTTCTTTTCCCTTGTCTTTCGAGACTCATCCTTCCTCCCAGCAATTTTTCCCTTTCCGTTAGCTTGAGGGAAACAAGGGTAGGATTAATTATTGAAGTACCAAGATCACAAGTGATTACCATAGCGAGGATTACTTTTCTGAAAAGAGAATGGAAGAAGAAGACATAACAACAATGTCATTCTTAAAAGACATTTAAGGTATTTAAGATGGTCAAGAATAGGGCAACATTAGTCACTTTATGACATTGGCTACAAGAAGAAACATTGAACACTGGCTCGGGAAAGCAGGATATGAAGACATATGAAAGAAAATGATGTATCCACATAAGTACATATTTCTTATTAGTTCCAGCAGTATGTCATCCTGGTTGTACTGTGCCTTATCTTCTTGTTACAATTAATAAATGGGGATCCACATAGCAGCAGGAGGCACAGAAAGATTGGTAAAACAGCATATTAAAGCACAGATGACGGTGATTGTTGGGAATAAGTGGAAGTTCTTTGCATAAATGAGGGTGCATTTTATTCTAAAAACATGAAATCAACCAACAAGAAGCCAATCTCTTTTTGTTAGTAAAAAATGATTAGTATACATGTTAATATGATCTTACTTGTTTTTCTTCCGTGCTCTTCCAAGCATTGCAAGACGATGAGCAGTCACCGTTATGGAGTCATCAGCAGGAAGAAATTTCTCTTTCGAGGTAGGTAAATCAACATCAGTTATTGGCTGTAATATGATTTCCCCATCACTATCTTCGCCATCACTGGATGATGAGTTATATTCAACTGCCCCACTGCTCTCCCCCCAGTCAAGTGAGGAAACACCCTCTGAGTCCTGGACCATGACAATATAACACTCGTAAATCATAAAAAAATAAGAATAGATGAAATAACCAGAGTCAGACAACTAGACTTAGTATTGTAAACCAGCCAACTGACCAAGTATGGTCGTCACCAAGTAGTAGCCACGAGAATAAAGAATGGAAGGCAATCAAAGGCCACTGATGTTCCAGTAATTGGTTATTCTTCCTTTTAAAATCATCAATGTACACTCGCACTTAACCAATATAGTACAGGGTGCTCCGATAGACCTTATGATGGAGTTTTAAATGGAAATGGATGGGATCACAAACCACAATAACGGAGGCTGTTCTTATACGAAATAGTCCATTGAGTTACTCTACATCCCCAAAACAGATAGTGAAGAATAATTCTTCTAAGTTCTACCAGCTTAAACAATGGCTCAAGGCTATTTAAGGTGTTAGTATATGAGCATATTAATTTGTACTTATAAGTCAAACTAACATATAATATATAATTTTGTATTTTCATATAACTTTTTACTTTTTCTTCTTACAAGTTAAATAAGTTACCAGTTTTCACACTAAGAAGACAGCTACGGTCAAAATAATAAAGCTTAAGTAAATTTGACTAAAAATAATTAAATTATACTAATAAAAAAATCACCACCCGTATTTTCTTCTATTATCATCTCCATCCTACAATGGCTGCCCTTTGTCCTCAGTCTACTCCCAACCTTCATCTGTATCACTTGCCCCTTGGACAACTGACCTCAACCTCCCTCTCTCACTACTTAATGTAATTCAATCTACCAAATATATGATTGCTTATAAGATTCAATTTACCAAAACATGCATGTTCAAAGACATTAAGTACTTAAAAAAAAAAACTAGTAAACCTGTTAGTATGTAAATATACTAAATTTAGCCTAGCAGTCCCTGGATCTTTGTGTTCTTATTAGATACACAATCATGTAAATAAATTCATCAGGTTATTGCCCAAGTTCTAATCTTCAGCATTTATTTTTCCCACTTTCCTCTTCTTTCTTATTGAGAGGGTTGTTAGATTTCAATGTTTGCTTCATTGTATAAGTTCCCATCATTATACAAGCTCATAATTCTCTACAATATTTGCTCATGAAACGAAAAGGAGAAATAATTAAGGAAGTCAGTAAATACATCATCCATCGCCCGAATTTGGGAAACCTGACGCCGCCCATATTTTCGAACCCGTGATCCAGAAATCTATTCACACACAAAAAAAAAAAAAGGTTATTAATTAGCACTAACCCAAAATTACATGTATTCATATCTATATACATCTACCAGCATTAATTACCTTTTGATCAAAACAATAACAGAGCTTATAATATCCGCATAAAGAGGAATCGAATGAAACGCGAGCAGGTACCCGCCTTGAACCAGAAAGAAACCCTAGATCAGTAAAACTTCTAAAATTCGTGGTACTCCTAGTATGAGTTCGCATTTCTAATATTAATTGAGTCCCAAATTGAATTCATTACCAATTAGGGTTATATATTTATATGTATATTTTGCGTGTAATGTGTATGTATGCATATACTGTGAGAACAATTAGGGCATGTTTGGGCGGGAATAAAATCTGATTTTAATTCAAGTGAAAGTCAAACAATCAATATGAACTACATCTTTAATGGGTCTCACATTTTTTCAATCACGCATTTCAAAAATTTCTATTACAATTCACTAAAAATCTAATTTTAATCCCCACCAAACACTCTCTTAGTTTATAAGTACAGAAAATGAATACACATGTCACGGTAACTTAAATTTGATGACGTGGCAGAGCAAAATTTTCCACCAAATTGAACCAAAATTGGGGCTGTGAGCAAAACCGTCTCCAAAATGAAATATAATGGTTCATTCCCCCTACATTTTCCATGGATTGTGCTTGTTGTGCATAATATATGTACATAGGGGTGTACAACAAGAATATTTCGTTTTCCATTCCCCCTAAATCAAAGTATATCGATCTCTTGCCATAAGCTCCCACCAGAAGCAAATCCAACAGCCACGTCATTGTCACCACTGGCCGGCACAAACGAAGAGCATACATCGCAAGCATTTCCCTCACGTTGTTTTGGCACCCCATTTCCCTCAAATCACAGTCTCTCGATCTCCTGCCCTAAGCTCTCACCCGTAGCAAATTCGATAGCCACATCATTGTCACCACCTATCGGCGCAAACGAAGATCATATATCGTAGGCATTTATCTCCCGTTGTTTTGGCACACGAAAAATATCTCCCATAGGGGATTTCAGGTCCTCCCTTCAAATGTAACATATATTTGCTACCTTCTGAGTTTCTTGGTAGTACATAAGTTTGCACGTTTTGGGATTTGCAAATGAGTTGAATGATTTTTCATGTGTGATTCCTTGGTATTAGGAATGAAGATTTCTCATATGTGACTTAGCTGTTTTCTTCGAATTCTGAATTTAGAAGTGTGCAAGAACTGATGATCGAAATAACAATATGTATTCATTTCATGTACCTATAGACTAATTGCTAATTTGCTTTTATATATTCTGTGATTTTCTCTGTTCGGTGCTTATATGGAGAGAAAATATATTTATAGAGAAATATACTAGTGAAGAAATGTACGATGAAACTGGACTAGCGTTCCTTTATTTCCGAAGTTTCCCTCAAGAAGTTCAGCAGCTTGATGAGTTCTATTACTCTCAGAGGCCCAATGCTCCATCGGTAATTGTTTTTCTGGTATATTATTTTTTTTATTCTTATTTTATGCCGTGACCTCCTCTTGAATTCCGAAAACTTGATTGCCAATTCCTTGATGAATTTAAATCCATTTTGTTGAAATTCTATTGTGGAATGACGTTCATTTAGGCTTCTGATTTTTCATTTCGAACTGAATGGAACATATGGGGTTTGATGTTTCAAGGTCGAACGAGATACTGGAAACAAAGGGTGATTGTTCTTCATGTGTAATGATCGTGGATATTTCAATTCGGTGAAAAAATAAGATTTAAGCAGGGAATCGAGTACCATGAATGAAGCGGTACGAGGAAGATGAAAACTTGCCAAGAATTTTCGACAGTCTAACTTGAATTACCGAGAAACGAGATGTCGATATATCATTGCACCTAACATTCCGCAAGTGAAAATGAATTGCCAAATGTGGCGGGAAAGGAAAGGGACCGACTTAAACGAGTAATATGAGTTGCGTTTGTGGTAGAAAGAGTACTATGATGTCAATTTGTATTTGCTATATGGTTTGTTGTAATGTACAAACTTGTTGGTCATAGTAGGCTTTAATGTTTATGGTTAATTTTGTTAACGTCGGTCAAGCATTGGACATAAGTTTTCTAGTTTGTGAATCGTCGTAATATATTAACGGTTTGGACATATTTTTCTTATTACATCGACATATCTTGTTCTAGTTTATGTCTACATCAATCTACTTTCAGTTATTTCCAGTCCAAGGACTGGTCATTCTATCAGATAAATCCTTTTCGCCTTTAATAATTTGTCATTCCTTCTACTTGCTCCCCTCCACGCATTGCAGTCAACTTAACAATAACTTTGAGGGGAATGTGATTCCTGACTCTTATGGAAACATGTCCAACCTCGTAAAGTTGTAAGTCCTTTATCTTCGTTTCCATTTTTCTCATCAACTTGCCACGTCATAAAATTTGACTCTATTTTAGACCTGAAACTTTGATGATCACGTATTTACTTGTATATGGAAGGAAGAGATGACAATATATTTGCATTCATAAAATAGCAATTCATTTTCATTCAAGCAGGAGTCTGAGAAATTGTAATCTGCAAGGAAAATCAGTCCCAATGTGACATGATATCAGTGCAAGTCTTGCATTGATGGGGAAAAAAATAAACCTGGCCTGCTTTGTTCTTGAATATAATTGTTCTCCTCCCGTTACAGAGATCTTAGCAAGAATCAACTCACTTTCTGAAAATATCACAACCATGTAAGTAACATTCTGTATACTGCCATTGTGAGTTAATATAGCACTTTGTGCTAATACATGACAATTTTCCAGTTATATGTTGAAGAATCAGCTTACCGGATCTATTCCCTCCAATTTCTCTGGACTTCCTCGTCTCCAGAAACTGTAAAGAATTGCAGTATTTTATGAATTTCTCTAATCAGCTAATTTCGTTGTGTTGTGCGGTGTGCCTAATTGGACAGTTATTGTTGCATTATATGAAAACTGAACATTCATACATATGCAATTAGTGAGCTACATATTTGCTTTTTTGTTCAATATTATAAAAGTTCACTAATAAATTGTTTGCATTACTATGACAAAGGAAGTCCGTTTCTTCCTTGACACTGCGACAACCTACCACTCCTGATGGCACCGTCACATATGAGGTTAAGATTCTTTTACTGCCCTCTTGCTCATAAATTCAGTAAAATCAGGATAATTTTTTCACCATCATTCAGCTTCTAAATTAGCTAGAAATTCAACTATTAACTGGAGAAACCAATTTATGAGCTAACCTATTTAGAACTAAGAAGTAAAGCACCTTTGTCCATCATCTAGGTTGCGGGCTGCCGTCTTCAAATACGATTTTGATGTCGGTTTTCGGTGGGTTTTCGTCTTCACACTATGGCCGATGATGCACGCCAGTCGATTTGCCAGATGTTGGCCGAAGATGGAGAAGCGAGTTTAGCTGGAGATGAACCAATATATTTCATTTTGAAGACGGTTTTGTAACTTTTGTTTAGGTGAAACCCGTTTTGCTCACAGCCCCGATTTTGGTTCAATTTGTTGGAAAATTTTGCTCTGCCACATCACCAAATTTAAATTCGAAAGATGCTACAAGTACATGGGCTGTTTTTAAAGGCCCCGGCTAGACAACACACATGAAGAGTGAGGTCATAGTTTTTTGGAAAAAACTAATGGTTCAGGGATTTACTTGTAGGAAATCAAATATCAGGTCTCAATATTTAAAATTGCAAAAATCAGGTTTTTTTTAAAATTAATTAATTATATTTCACAATTATTATATTAAATTAAATATTTAACTATAATATAATATAATTAACCCCACCCCACCAAACTCCATCTCCACCACCCACATTGCTCCGACGACTGTTCTCCGGCCGCACTGAATTCCGGCGACTACTTCGGCGATCGTTCTCCGGCCGCACAGAATTCCGGTGACTGCTCCGATTTCGACAATTGTTAAGGTCACAGATATATGGAGGTGGGTCACGGAATATTTCGAGGTCACAGATCAAAACTGATAAAAAAAATTATAGGTCGCAGTTAACTTCGTAGGTCGCAGTTAACTTCGTAGGTCACAAATCAAGAATTTTAAGTCACAGGTAATTTTTTATAGGTCACAGATTAAAATAATTCAAACCTTTTACGGGTCNTTTTGGAAATCAAACCGAACCAACGGGGATGAATCCCCAGTCTATGTGGATGTAAATGATTGGTTAAATAATATGTGAAATTAAATGACTTATTTAATTTCACCTATCATTTAATGCCACATTAACACCACATAGACTGGGGATGCATTCCCAATGTGGATGAATAGCATTTATCTTCACATTATTGTGTGATGATTATTTGCCCATTTTTTTGTGTAACAAATAATCATTGATTTGTGAATGAGATTGAATTGGGACTGCAAGGAGAGCATCATTCCAACGTAGAATAGGGACAAATAAACCGTTGTCTTGTGCCTAAAATGATAAAAGAAAATAGAAAAAACCAAACAAGAAAAGGAAACCAGTCACAGTGCAACACCTTTGCATTTCAAAGTCGTTTTGCATAGTCGATTCGATATCCTAATCCCGGTTGAACATCACAAGAGTTTGGATAATCACTATGCATTTTATAGCCAAAGAAAAGTATGACATAATATAACACAGTTAACACTTTTTTCTATAACAGTGTAGAAAACCACCACAATATCATAATATTATAACATTCAGATAGGTTCATTTGCAAATTGCAAACCGACAGCGACACTGTTGAAATCCCTCGAATACAGATTTGAAGTGACAGAACACACTGCTAACTGAATAACCTCCACTTGATATAGTAGACCTCGCAAGTATATTTACTTTCACCAACAGGCAGATAGTGAAACGGCTCTATTATGTTCGGCAAAGCTTAAATGTTAGCTAACAGTATCTTTTTCGAAAAGTGCCTGTAGCTACTTTTCAAAGAAGTTAATCTAAGTAACTTTTAAGCTTAGCCAAACATAGATGATCAATTGGAAGCCAGTGGCCGGCCTCTCCCCAAAGTAAATCCTCTGGTTCCATCAGGCATTCTTGGGCCTGGAGGCGGCTTAGAGGGTTCATTACCATGACTCGAAGCATGTGTTCCATGGCCTGAAAAAATATACACGTTTTTAACAGTTTTATTACAAGACGTATAACTGTAAGTTGTTGAGATAATTGAACAAGAGAAGGAAAATATAAGAGTAACTTCTACAATACCATGT